TGAGGGAACGATGCCAAAGTAGCGCAAGTTCTATAAATTGTTTTGCGACATTTTTTCTCACAGTAAGAAACTCTCCCGAGAAACTAATCGGCGCAGGACAATGAGGGTTGGTTTTTGATCGTCAGGCGCTCGTGCGAACTCCGAAACACTTTCGTACACGCGGGTTGATTGCGATCCAAAAAAACGCCCCGAACGAAAATTTTTGGCACACGGCGCGGTCTCTGTTCTTAACCTCAGGACCGAAAGCCAAGAATTTCTGACCAATCTAGAGATGTCGTGACCTAGAAAAAGCCGTGGCGAAAGTCGGCACTCACATTCGTTCGCTTCTATTATTTGATTCGAGTTCGATGACCGTAAAAGTCAAGAATAAAACCGATCGTCGCGGCGATTTCGTAAACAAGATTGTTTTTCTAATAATTGACATGCAATCAGCATAGATGTGCATACGTTACTTCGGTCGGTTGTATTATTTGTGATCGTATGTGTAATGTAATGAAGCGCACTGATACATCAAATTAACGAAGATGATATTTTTCACAAATATTATGTTGCAAAACTTAATTAGAAAAAATGTACCACGCTATTTAAATTCTTTATTTTTCCACAGCGTAATATTGCATTATCTTTGTGACACTTGCAATTTTACGTTTTATCATCTTTTTAATCTGAGCTTTCGTAGCTTTTGTCTTTTCTTGCGCTCTCACGGATTTTCCAGGTCAGAGACGAGATTTATAAAAGCTCTGTTTTCGTAGCATTCTGATAATAAAAAATACAATAAAATGACATGTTGTCTCTTGCAAAAACTCATCATGAAACAAGAGTCGTTGTAAAACTCATATATTTTATTAATAAATATTAATCTACCCGCAGGAGATAGAGACGAGAGATGCGCTAAAGAGACGACGTTTATATAAACTTTAATCAAATAAGTTCTCCGGCTCTTCCGGTTTCAGAAATAAAGCGAGAATACATATATATCTACGTGCCGGGCGTGTACGCGATAATATAATTGCATTTCCGGTGAGATCGTTGTGAGAATCGCAGATAGAAGATGGAAGAAGAACTTAGCCGAGAAGCATTCGAAGTTTATGTGCGACCCAAGGTAGGCCGATTATATGGGAGCCGCATTGTTCGACGTGATGAATAGCTGGAGTTGAGATTACAAAGTGCCCGCGCAGAAGGGGGCTAAATAACGTCAAGAAAATAGAAGAAAGAAGAGGGGGTTTTATAAAGAATATAATAATATACACAAGAGAGAGAGAGAGAGAGAGAGAGAGAGAAAGGTGCGAGATCCAAACATTTTGTAGACGCGCTCGATGATTCAGCTCGACGAGGAAGAACACTTTGATATCGAGGAACGTTTGATGGGCGAAAACCTATAAGAACGCAATTCGCGTGGCTACATATCAGATTCTTCGGAAACGCCTAGTTCACGCATCTCGGGTGCACATCTAACGCCGAGTCCTTTCACCGCGGCAGGTGTCGACGCACGCAATTCGTATCCGAGGAAGGGGGAGACGGATATGCGCACACGCAGAAAAGTGCAGCGCTATAACATTCTGCCGACGCATAAGCTTTCGCGATGTATACACGACATAGAAATGCCAAATGCATACAGAAAACAATTTTTTGCAAGAAAATGAGTTACTAGGAAAAATTTTCTGTGCTCGTTGAAATGTTTTTTTTTTTTTTTTTTGCTTAATAAAGCTTTTTATTAATAAAGCAGGGAATTCTTTTGACATTAAAATCATAAAAGTATCGATCAATTTTATTGAAGAAAAAAGCATAAAATATACAATATTTATAATTATATAAATATAAAAATTTTTTTTAGAAGAAAGCTTTTTAAACGAATTAAAATGAGCGAATCGTTTTATTTCTATATTGAGCGTGAAGAGCGGCGATAATAGAGCGTTACATGCGAGCAAAATCATTGAATTGTTTGAGGTGTAAATTTCTTCAAGCAGCAAATTGAGCGCTCAGAAGCCTCTCCGTAAATTATAGCATTTATACAATCGCAGAAGAGACTCTCGAGTAGTCGACATTTTAAGCGTCTCCCAACAGCTTCTGGATGTCTTTTGCCTCACCGTGACGGGATCGTTGCGCGCGGCACCAGTTATCCTTGAGTTCGATCCCCTCGGTCCTCGATTGGGCCCGCGAGTGTGCGTGAACCGCGGGCGTGAATGCAACGCGCGGACTCTCATGTGTGAGATTAGATTTATGTGCGTAACGCAATTCGAATGTAATCGCCGTATACGCGGCCGATTGATCGATCGGTCAGTCATCTATGTAATTTATGCGTAACTTCTCCTACGAAATATCTTAAAGCAGTCATTTCGGTCTTTCAATCAAATGTGCAAACTACCGATCTTGTTTGTTCGAAATTATTTCGTGGAATTTAAACCGTGACTCTCGTTAAAGAATGTTAATTTAATATATATTTAATGAGCGATACACACAAGCGTGTGTTACGTAAGCGTTCTCGTACGTAGTCTTAAAGCAACACCTTTCGACTTGGAGTTATTATTCATTTCCTTGCTTTGCGTGCGCGCACGTGTGTGTAGAGAGAAGGTTAAATATTTTACATACATCTAATCAAATATTATATTGACATAGACCGAACGTACTACGGTATTTTTCTTTTATCCGCGCTATCGCGCTTCAAAATAACTGCTTATACCAATCTCTCTCGAGGTATCGATTTATTCTAAGAGAAGCGAATCGCCTGTACGTTTCGAGACGGTGTTGAATAAATGTATAAAAACAAAAACGGAGAAGAAAATATTCGTCGCGACTTTGAAATCGAATGTCGCACCGTCTTCACCTCACGACGACGGAAGGAAAACGAAATTTTCACCGTCTCGACGTAATCGAGCAATTTCGCCAATTAGAACGCGTAACGAATATCGCGTAATTAAGTTGCGCGACGAAGTTAAGGAAAGCTGGCGCGACAGCCATTTCTATGACTTCCCCGATGCCGAGACTTTTAAACTATTCCGCTTGCTTTTCTGCGGGATTAAATACCAACGAGACAGCAACGCAAAAGCTCTCGCTCTCGCTCTCTCTCTTTCTCTCTTTTTCTCTTTCTCCGTCTCTTTTTCACCAGGAGAAAATGAGCGTCTCGCCTCGGAAGACTAGCGTTTGTTTACTTATTCCGTGTAGTTGTAAAAAGGACCGCTTGCGCTTGTAAAATAAATCCGTGATGTTTGCTTTTTAAGAAACAAACTTTGTCAACGTTAATAAATCACATCATCTTTTTTTCCGTTTTGCTCCGTGCAAGCGGTTTTTTTTTTTTGCAACCGAGCCACGTTGTGGTATTCAGTGGCGCGGACGAGCCGAACGTACTGACACGTGCTGGCCGAGCAAAGGTCATTGAAACACGAGCGCCAACCGCACCTCGCGTTGTCATCGGCGTTTTCGCTGTTAAAACCCCGTCACGCGTGAGATATGTCATTCGCGGTGTGTGCGAAATGAGGATTTGTACGGGCTTATATAATTCGCATTGGCGATAATCTCGATGCCGAGGATTTGCGTCAGGACTTCACTGTGTGAGAATTGCGATTGTCACGGAAATCGAATTCTCACGAACCGCCGTCCGTGGCGTTCGTTGCAATGATGACACGAAACGTCCGGCGTAATGCAAAGCGTGTTACATTAGTCATGCTACGACCGGTCCGAGTGTGACGTCATGTCCAGATAAATGAAATATCTTCGTACGTAAATATCTGACGCGCGCGCACGCGGTCAGCAATAATAAACGAATTTTCAACGACGTAATTTTTACAAGATAAACTAAAGTATTTTAACTGTCTTTGTGTTTTTATCTCGCGAGCTAAACAAAACAACGTTTTTCGCGATAAAAGAAATAATGTGTCGACAATATTCAAATAATTAACAAAAAAGCTCTCAACTGAAAAGATTTTTAATACTTTACACTTTTTTCTTTGTTGGAATAAGATTCTATTTAGAACATTTCTGTAATTTGAAATAAGAAATCCGTCATGATCCGTTTTAACGGATTTGGTTGTTCCAATGTGTGAGCGGCGATGTTATTCACAATATCGAAGAGCTGAGAGATTTACGAGAAAATGAAATGAGAAATACGCACAAGAGAGAGAGAAGGGAGAAGGGCGAGGGTGCGCCGGGGGTGAGAAATAGAAGTAATAAGAAGAGCAAACCGTCATTTCCGACGGCTGCAAATCCCGGGCTTTATGAAGCGTGGAATGAAACGTGTCCCTTCACGAGTCCGTCGCAAAACACTCGGGAGGAAAAACGTTAATGGTTATACCACGACGGTGACGCGCGATTTATGATTTACCGCTTATGTGGATTTTTTTTATTATTATTATCATAACGATGACAGCAGCGTGGACACACATTTTAAACCGGAAGATTATTGCTCTTTCTTGTTGTTCGCGCTGGACACAAATTTGCATTATAATTTCCAGCTGCGAGCATTTCACTTTTCAACCAGCTGTTTAATATTTCAGCTAATATTTACCCCAACGACTGCAAACGTTACACATCTTTGAAACGCAAACACAGGATGGTAAAAATTATGTGTAAAAATAAATCTCAAATGTTGAACAAACTTTGTTTTACATGATGGTTTGTTTTCCAAAAAAAAATATTTTTGACAGTCCGGTTCAACTTCTTTCATTTTGCTTCAACTAAAATTGAAAATTGAATGTTTGTGTGTTAAATATTTTAATATTAAATATTGTTTGTTTTCACTCTCTTATTTACACACGTTTTACAATGCGAGTGTAAATCAGCAAGAGAGATGCCAAGGAATGTCGTTGACGGACATTGACGTCAAGCCTTGATGCATTCCGTGCGAAAACGTTCTATGGGCGCAATACCATATATTCAGGCCGTCACGCGTGAACGACAGGCTCGTCTCTTATCGCAAAATATACCGGCGGTGATATACGGCGGAGACGCGTCTAAGTAACCTCGAATGTTACATTTGACGTAAAAACAACAACTGGCTGACGTACCGAGAGGCGAAGACCGTTTCCAGCATGGCTGGTAGCCCTCTCGAGTGGCTGGTGGGCGGACGGGTGGTTTCCCATTTCTCTCTTGTAACGTCGATGTTTTCACGACGAGCAGTACCGCCACCCGCGTCAAGTATCCAAACACAACGGGCCGTTGGTAGTTTCGCGATTGTCCCTTGGTGCACCATACGCGATACCGATCGCTGTCGTCCGCACTCCGTCACACCTGTGACCTTTTCGGTAGCGCGTGTAATCGCGAAACGAGACGATGAAACAAATCCTCTTCAAGATATATCCGACCGTCTTCTATCGAGAATTTCTTCAAACGCTGTACGTACAGGCTTGTCGATCCGTCAACGGCTGACCTTTCTCAGCCGCTTTCTCTTCGCCGCGAGACGTAGACTCTGGAATCCCGCAGGTGTCTTTATTATTTATCAGCACGTTCGATTCTCTGACGTTACGCCTCCGTCCAAGACTGGCCGTGTCACCGAGTACGTGCCGACGGGGCTTCCCGATCGAACGCAAACGTATCGCGGAACGTCATCGGCTCAATCCTACGCGACATCACACGTTTTCGCACACACACTCTCGATGGCCTCGTCGAGAGCTACGCCTCCTTGTCGCGATCGCGTAACGGGGACTCCGAAAACGCTGAAGCGAAACTCCGTTCTCCGCGTGTGGATCGGTACACTCCGGAGTAATTTTAGTTCGGCACACACAGCAGCCACTGAATGAATACCGCGGTCAGACAGAGCGAGAGAGAAACAGAAAGAGGGAAGAAGAGAGGGCTACTGCTGATGGATGTCGCGGTGCGCGAATGACATGGCGGCGAGATGCTGCCGGCGAGGAAAACGCAGTCGGATGAACGTCAGGGAGACGACTGTTGGCCTCTCCTGTTTCTGCTCCTTTTCGTTTCTCTTCTTCTTCTTCTTCTTCGCGCGTCGTCTTCTTTTTATTTTTTAATCCTCGCGTTCTACCAGCAAACTGGTCCCAAACTGGTCATACGACTTGTCCAACGTCACAGATTCTACCTAGAAGAGTGGGATTCCGATCTCTCTCTCTCTCCGTTTCTGGTCTCTCGCGGTTGAGTCTCTTTTCTCTCTCTCTCTCTCTCTCTCACTCTCTCTCTCTCACTCTCTCTCTCTCTTTCCTCTCACTCCGCTTCCTTCCAGACACCGCGGACACGACGGTGGGGAATCGCGTATATTCCACCGCACACCAGTGTGATCGCACAATGCAGTCGGACTCGCCTTATGCGATGATGAGTCGCGATCTTTCTCTCTCTCTCTCTCTCGTTTTATTTTTAAACGATGACTGCTCCGTGTCCTCAATACGGCTGTCAAGACCGTCGTTGATTTCCGATCTTACTTTTCCCTGTCGCCAAGTAATCGTCGTCTACGTAACGCGAAGACGTTGAAGACGCTTTTCGCCTCAAATTTCTTGAAACGTTACGAAACTGTCGAACTACGTAAAAATTCAATGTCGAACAGGGTTGTCGGACGGACAGGGACTAGAACTGAGGCTGACACTTTGTTCAACTTTCACGAATCCGATATCCGGAACGGACCTTTTCTATTAAAGCAGAGTGTCCCGTGATGTGGCACACTTTTAATTAAACGAACTTCACACACACGTTGGCCGCGTTAATGCGTCAATTAATCCAGTCACGAGACTTCGGTGGCACTTTATGAACTTGTTTCCTCGCGAATTTATTTATCGCCTCTTCCGCAGTTTAATCGATACAATATTTTCCTAATCCGAGTCAAATCGGAAGCGCTGCCCTCGGTTTTTTTGTCTTAACAGTTGAGCACTTCCACGAGCCAATTAACCCGAAGGAAACAGGTTGATCTCTTCCATCCGTTGTCTTTTATTTCGTACGTTGTTTTTTTATATTTCTTCTTCTTTTTGCCGTGTATACTCGTTTATCACCGACGCAAGAAGCTCACGCGCGGCACCACTTTGCGACAGCGGATTTCCCCGTGGAAGAGAGACATTTGTCGCAAAGTATATAATGCGATTATCCGCGAGCTCGTTTAGCGTGCGCCAACTAATGGAGCTACACGGCTACGCGCGATGCCAGTTCCCACGTTTTTCCGTTAGCGCCGTCATCGTCACGCTCAGCTACTTCCGGCGACCCCACCGGAACTCAAAGTAGTTGGCTCGATCTTTCACAGAGAATCCGACTTGTCAAATGCAGATTCGAATTACTCACGACAAAGCACCTATCACTTATTTTTTTTACTCGAGGTGAGTAAGAATTTACTCTTAATGAAGAAAGGGATGAAAGGACACGACTGCACGACACATACGACGCAAAGTGAAGTTCAACGAATCGTCGTAACTTGCGAAAAGGCTGTTTAAAATTCCACAAAATAGAACCACTTAACCTCAATAAACACTCCGATGGAAATGGAATTATCTGATAATTCACTGAATGATGACAGCGCGTCGGCTTTCAAATAAAGGCTCAACGTTTCTACGATGAGCGCGCCATCTGGTCAACACCTCGCCCAGGTAATATACAGGTAGATACGAGTCAACGATGTTGTAATTTTATTAAAATCCGAGGTATGAATCGAGCACTTGTCTGCGAGGTTTAGATCTGAAGGGTACGCGCCGTCACGCAGTTCGCACTTTGGAAGACAACACACGACACGCCATTTCTGACTTTCACCAGACGATATGTGGTACGAGAGAAGATTCGTTCGACGGTGTACCTCTGGGCCTAATGCGGCCAGGTCTGCTCAACGGATATACGACAACCCCCCCTTGAGAGCTTCCAGACACGAATGCCGAGGGTCTAACAGGCCCAGGTCGCTCCATCCCACTTTGCCGTTTGTCAGGGATAGATACAGAACCGAAAGGCCCCACTATCTTTTGAGACATGTCCATGTCTGATTTGTTGATATTTTCTTTCAACAAGTCATTAAAAAATCGTCTGGCAGAGTACAATAAGGAAATCTTAATACGTATAAGTTTTTGTGTAGATTTTTTATTTAAAAAACCGAATGTTCTCCTGTTTCTCTCGATATTTTTGTAGTTTTACGCATTTTATTTTTTTGTCAGATATTTTTCAGGTGTAATAAAATTTTCTTTCGAATAGAATAAATTTATAAATGTTATAAAATTGTGTTACACACTACTGTGTTTTATTTTATTGTGCAATACGAAGAGAAGTCACAGAGAGAGAGAGAGAGAAATTAGCTTTCCTTCTAAAACTTATATCTCTGTAGATACTTCACAAGTGTATCGATAAATACACAAAATGTTGCACACATTACACGTAGATAAAATTTTACACAAACTTCCAGGAGCGTGTAAAGTACACGAGAAACCCGGATCGAAGCCAGTCGAATAAGAGTCAATTTTTCTCTCCTCTTCTCACCAACGCGAATGCCCCGAGTCAGACTCAGGTTGCTTCCTTTTCCCTCTCTCGATGGATCTCAGGGATATGTCTAGCGTCAACGGCACCCTCGATCGTCGCCTTTCTCGGTTCGATGACGCGAAACCGGTTTTTCACGCAATTACGATCATCGGGGAACGATTCGAGTCTCGGGTTCTCGAGCTTCGGATCGGAGAAATTTGTATCGACGACGAAACTGAAAATCGACGTCGCGATTTTGACGTCAAATCATCCGAACGCAGGTGACGGAAAGTTCGCGTCGGGTCATTCGAAGGCGAAGAGGCCGGGGTGGATACGCGAAGTTTACGGCGGTGAGAGAAGCAGCTGCTACAGCAAATGCTCGTACATCTGCTTGAGACACGACCCGGAGAGACTTACCGTGAAGTTCGAAGCGTCTCTCTTTCTCTCACTTCGATCGGAACGATCTCTCGTCGAGAGCAGAATCGTTTTTTCATTTTGAAATGCGATGAAAACTATCCGGAAATTATAGCAATTGCTAAAACACTTAATTCTTTTTAATATCTACGAGAGTGCGTAACAATTTTTTAAATAGAAAGACGCAAAAATATTATTTTTACAAGTCTTCTATTACGGAAGCTGCGCTGCAAAGACTTTTAAAAAGGCAAATCTCTGCAGTAAATTACAGTGAGTGAAAAACTAAACGCGCGGTTTAGATTTTAATTAAGCGCGAGAGGTAACATTTAACGGAGCTGAAAGTTCTCAATGGGACGTGTGCATTTTCTCTCCAAGCAGCTGCGAATCGTGGATTTACTTTCCGCGTTTAAGAGCGCGCGACATAGATGACGAAAGAAACTCAACATCTGCCTTTGCTCTCCTACGTGCTCTCCCGAATCGTAAGCCAAACACGAGCGTTAAATGCAGGAAGTTAGTTCTCGTGGCTCCCAACACGTTTAATAAACATGCGGCTGCAGCGGCTCTTTAAAAACTTCTGCACTCTCATTAAAATTGTCAATAAAATGTAAATTTCTATCACAAATCAACAATGCGATAAGCATAAAATTACGGAGAATATAGTGAGAGCAGAGCATATCGAAATATTTAAACATTGTTTTATTACAATATAATTACATAAATGCGAGAATTTATTTTTGTCACTAACAAGGAAATAATTCGATAAAAATTTGAACATTTCAAGTGTCTCCCAATACTTTTTATAATTTACTCTTATGACGCACGGCCTTGCCCCTTTTTTCCGTTTTAGTAGAAATCATCACGATCGCTCGGAAAGAAGGTCCCCGTAATCGACAATCGCAGCCCCAGCTGCGAGTATTTCGGTCGGATTGTTTTCACGTTACGCACAGAGGGTTTCACAATACGCGTCGTTGCAGAATGTGCCGGGGTGTCGTGCGTGAGCACAGGTGTAAAGAGTAACGAACGGCATAGGTGCACTTGCGTCTCGCAAACGAAGGGTGACTCCCAACATCCTTCTCTCCGTGAGAGAACTTTTGCGACGACATAGCCGTTACTATTTGACTCTCTTCGCGGTAACCCTTCAGAGTTGTGTACCTCTTTAAAAGAGATCTGATGTTCATTAAATGGACGTACATTATAAGATTAAATCTAATTAAATAATATAAAAAATAGCTCTTGCTCGTTTTTGGCCTTTTGATTATTTATTAGACTAACGCAAAAATTTATTTATTAACATATTAAATAAATAACAAAGAAATACATTTATTCAACAAATAACAACATTTAATATTGTCCGTTAACACAAGACTTGTTAGGACTGTTGACACACACACACGCAGTCGCTCTTAATGAACAGCGTGCTCGTGTATTTACAGCACCAATGTTTCTTCTGTTGTGTCGACGATCTACACGTACGGAATACGCGTCTCTCTTGATTCTCTCTCGCACGTGCGTTTCTACGGACGCGCCATATGGCCGCGACAAAACCACATGCCGGTATATTCCCAGGCATCGAGTTGGCAGGTACCGACAATGTGGCATGTGTGTTTCAATACGTGCCATGCTTCATTGCCGGAGAATTTCGTAAGCGTAATTATCGCGGAGGTGTAATTAATCAAGGCAGCGGTGCAGCTTCTAAGCGCAGGATTCGCAAACAACGCGAGACGACGCGAGGTACAACACTACGAGGATCTCGCGCATTGAAATTTCAGATATTTGTGTTGCAAGAATATTCAAAGTAAGTATATAATATAATTCACGCGAATGTGGCGATCAAAACTATTTTTTCTGAGAAAAAACTTTGTAAGAAAAATTATTTCCGCCTCAAAATTGCGTCAAAATTTCGCGATTGTAACGTCAATCTTATAGATGTCAAATCGGACGGACATGCGTTTCACGTGAAATGCGAATTAATATCGGAGAAGCGCGAGATTGAGGCAAACCACAGCAGCGCGATACGCGTAATCCCCAGAGATGCGCTCCCAATTAAAATTTATTCATTACGGGCACGCGTACCGCTAACTAGATATGGGAGCGAATGTCCGATGCGTTCGTTGATTGCGATACGGAACTTCATTTTTTGCGACAATTACAATGTCGCAATTTGTAGACCAGAAAATTAGGTCAAAAAACGGTAAATTGTTTAAGTTTTAGAAGTGACTTTTTCTTCACATAAAAACATCAAATATTTTGTGATGTAATATTGATTTTTCTCTTGAAAAATAATTTATATCAGACGCCTAACACAACTTTCATTAGAATATTAATTACGCGACAATGCTTATGTAAATGTCATAATGCCGTAGAGGTCTGATGAAGAAGTTGCTCTTGCAAACTGAAGAGAATTCCTTATCCGTGCCGCAGCAGTCTGTAAATTATACAACGGAATAACGAGGCTTCATCCATTCTAACTGTCTGGTTCCCTTTGTTTCGAGCACGGCAGCTTCGCCGGTTAAAAGATTGCACGCTAATGAGCACTTCTTCTACCGTTACTCGCTTCTTGCTGCGAATCACCTGTGATTCAGCGAATTGAGCATGACGCAAACTTGTCCGAGCGTTGTCCGGTGGAAAGTTATTCCGAAACGGAGTCTCTTCGTGAGAATCAACGATTATTATCGGAACCGGCCGACAGTTTCGATTGCCGCTTATCACGAAGAGACGGAAGAGAAATCGAAGCTGAACTGCTATTAAATAAATTCTTCTGATTTATTGCTTCTTCCTCTGAGCTCGAACTATTTTCTCTTATCTGTAACTGCCCTCCCAAAATACAGGAGAACCTGTCATGGGAAGTTCCCGAGTCAAGGTCCGGTAGGCCGCCCTTTCTTTTTCGGTGTCAGACAATATAAGTGCTCTGCGCAACAATAGAGCGCTATGACAAGTATTGTGCACGCGAGGAACTAAATGAGTATATACACGCGCTTTAATCGGTGACGTGAAATCGTTCTCCGCGGGCAATTAACGAAGCATGACATTTCGTCATTGGCGCGTCAACGTTAAACGCTCGATCGATTAGACAAACTCAGAGCCCGTTTCAATATAAGCGTTCGATTCGTGGACACTCGATAGTCGGCAAGGATAACGGACGGCTAGCTTCGGCGAACGAATTCTGTGAGCCCGAAGTGCGCTTTACGTGACACGTTTCCCCGTTTAATTTCAGCCGAAGTTATTGGACTTCGTGCCGACGCTTTAATCAACGGCATCGATCCGTCACCTTACTTAACAACAAAGCCGTCAAAAAAAAACTGCGGCATTATACACTGTTGTTTTTACTCGTAATACATAAAATAGAAAATTAATGAGAAGATAAAATTAATTTTTTCTTATTATTTTTCTTATTACTGAAAATTTTATAATTTATAGTGGTCTTATAACACAAATGCAATTAAAATGTGAAAATGATAAAAAGGCGTTTCTTCACAAACTTCTATAAAAACTTTTTTAAATATGTTTATCTATATATTCTTTTACATACACACGTGTATTATTTTTTCTCTCACACATGCACAATGTTTTATTATTTCTAACTTACCCCTGTGACAGCGAGACCTCATAATTTCGTACAAAGAATATATGCGAACACATGACATTGATATTCCGGAAATGAATCAAAACGCACGTGAACAGATGTTATGTGTAGATTTTTTTTACGTATTTTCTTTTTTCATCTTGCATTTATATCTTCGCAGAAAAATAAATGGTTGAAATTGAATCAACAAAAAAAGAGTACGTGTAAACAAATGTGTTATTGTAGTGTAATTACAAATAATTCGAAACTCACCGAAAATTTATCGCTCACTCCAGCCCAAAGAGAGGAATTTACACTTTTTTTTCTGAAAAAAAACAAAAGTACATTAAACACATGAAAAATTATACACTTGCAATGTAATTGAATAGTGCTTTTGTGACATTTAAATGTACAAAAAAGTATCACGCAATTAATGCGATTCTTTTTTATGAAAATAATTTATATAATAGATGTGACGGTACGCGCACTTTATCGTTTTGTCAAAATTTTATCATACGCACTTAATTTAATAGCAATCCGAGCGATTTATTGCGCCGACATTTGTGAATGAAAAAGAGAAGAGGATAAATAAAGAAAGTTTGATTTATATAACCAAAATTTCGACAATTATCCGACCAACTCGTCAGAGAAAACTTCGTAATTGGAGTCTCGTGAACTTTTCAACATGCTACGAGGTACTTTATTTGATGTTAACATTTAATACTCTCTTTTACTGCCAATTACATTTACGTTAAAAAAACTGACAATTTTATTTATATATTATAATATTGTTTATACACCAAATAAAATAAAAACCATATAAAATTCTGAGATTCTAGTTTCCTACAATTTTTGTAACTTATGTTTTTTGTTTAAAATAAAGGCAGAAGATACATTTATAACAAAATAGTTGTGTATATTTATAATCCAATGTCAAGTTGGAAGTTCATTTTTCACGAAAGACGTTGTTTACGCAGACATAAGCTGCTAATTGTGCTCAAGTTTGCGCGCGTGCGCGCGCGCAAATGACGTTCCGCAGAAAATTGAAGTCGCGTCTGTACCATAATACACTTTCACAGAGAAAGAAAAAGAAAAATATGTATTCTCATCAAATTGATTCCGTAACACGACTCCCAGACGAAGGAGACTCGGCGATTCGTTATAAAGAAATCCCCGAGACTACTCGAACGTCTACATAAAAATGTGCACGGCACTTTATATCGAGCGAGACCGTTCCCACGACACCCCGTGCCGCTTCTTCTATGGGAATATTTTATAGGGGTGAATTTGTATGTGCGAACGCACTTGTGTGCGTGTACGTACATATGTTACGTGCGCCACACACGCGCGCGAGATGTAGTTCTAACGGTAATCAGCGTGCCCGCACTCTCTTCTGTGTGACATATTGATCCCGATGACGCGTTTCGCTTTCAATATAATACCGGCCTAATTAAATAAACGTATCGATACAGTATCAATGTAATAAATGAGGTTTCACAGATATAAACTTGAGCAATTTTGCACGAATTTTTTTATATTTTCATCCGATAATGAAAAGTATATACCTCGCTCTCGATATTATCGTTTTTTTATGGTTAAAATATAATCGCTTATTGGTACAAGTGGTCACATGTACGTTTATTTGCACATTTCGGAGATGTGGAAGATAAGTGTGTTATATAAGCTCAACTTTTACCGCAAAGAAATACCGTTGTGAGGAATCGCTTCGAGAGGCAATACAGCAGAGACAAAAGAGAATGTTGAAATTCACAATTGTCATTATTGCTACGCTGGTTTTTGTAAGTATCTTTCGTAATGGAAATAATATATTAAATTATTAGAGTTTGTTCTTGTATTTGTTTTGTTTTGTATTTAATCGAAGACCAACTTGTAGCATAAAGTAAACGCGCTGAACGAGGATGAAAGAGATCAGATGAAATTTACGATTTTGCAAGCGAAGAATCGTGCGTTTGATCAGGTACAAGGAATTAAAGCTTTAGCGACTACTGAAAACGCAAACTTTATTGCCGATGTGAATGAAGTGGTGCTGAAGGTACGTGTTATATAACTTACATATAAGTTAACAATAACATCGATAAATTACTACTAAAAAATAGTATTTTTTAGTAGTTGACAATGAAATGTCAGAAAAGATATTAAATGTACTCGTTAAGATACTTTTTTTTGGTTTAACATTCCGTAAAATGTATTTGCTTAAAAATTTCGTTGAAGTCTTTAAGCGATATGGAAGCATTGAGAAAAGAATTTGACACACAAAGTGCTTCTTGCGATGTGAAAGATGACATAAACAATAATGCTGTGAAGACTGTTGCGCACTTTCAATCCTGCACGGAAAAAGTAATCAATTATGCCGATGCGGACATGAATTCTCTGGCTTTTGACGGAAGCCTACTGGTGAAAGAAATTGATTACCCTGATGTAAGTAATCTTGTACAGAATTATGTATTTTTTTATATTTTATTTTATTTATTTATTTATTATTTTATTTTCTAGAAACGCACCGAGGAACTATCTCGTCAAGTTGAGGAATATGACGCGAGGTCTTACCAATTCGCCAAGTATCTGCAAAGATTGGAGAAGTGCAAAACTCAATCAAATATGACACGACTTAAGCGCCACATATCTGAGGCTTTAGCCAGCTACAAACGATGCCTTCAAAATAAGTAAATATTCTCCGATTTAACACGCAATTGTAGTTTTTTGGCTATAAAGAAAATGGTTCATATATTTTTATAAAATTACACCACACTAAACAAAAGTTGTCATATTAAAAAAATACTAAAATCTTTTTGTCATATTAAAACAATCAACATTAAAAATATCGAAATAAAAGATGGCATGTTGTCAAAAAAAAAGTTTCTACCGTTTTTTACATTCCTCGACAGCGTCTGCTTGTGATACGGAAGTTATTATGTATACCTTTAGTTTAATATTTGCATAAACAATTGTAGAAATGTAACGATAAACACATTTTTATCGGCGCAACGATCATATAACACAGTAAATCACACAAATAAAATTCACGTTTTCCTGAATAATATGTTTTGCTTATCACTGTCATTTGTCACTTGATTCATCCTAATTAGTAGAATTGCGTCACTGATATAATTTGACATATAATTTGCATACTTTGACATGCGTCGCGTTGGCGATGGATATTTCTTATATAAACTGCGGTTTGGATCACACATGTAGTACTGCCGAAGTCGCTCAGCAGAAGTAGTGCAACAGAATTGGAGCAACAACAATGTCGAAAATGGCGATGAGTTACATCATCCTAGCTGTTTGTGTAAGTATACCGATTTTTTAATCTCTGTTGTATTGTAGTTTCGCGAATCATAAAAATGAGAAAAAAAGTAGAATTCAATCGTTTGTTGAAAATTGTAGTATTTTTCAAAAAGTTGAAGCAAATGATTGCAAAGATAAGCGTGGATTGTTGTGTAATTATTTCCACTGAAGAAAAACCAAGATTTTATTTAACACATTTATTTTATATAATATAAAATATTATGTTTAATAAAAAGAAAGAGAAAATAGAATATTGTTATGTAACATAATTTCACGTATTTGTCGCGCGTATACTTTACATTAATATACATATTGTTTACTTTTTCAGATTACGTACCAAACAGCCCAAGCTGGCACGCTTGATTGGAATAGTCTGTTATCTTTACCGCAAAACCTAGATAAACTTCATAACGTTTTTGAACTTGCACAAAATAGCATAAGTTCATATAGTTCACAATCAGAACAAGCGATCGACCAAACGATTGCTAATATATCTAATGAACGGGACCTAGTAAATATTCAAACATACTATCTATTAAATTATTGTGAAATAAATTATTCTTATCTCTCGTCTTATAATTTGACGACGTAGTGATTACATTGTCTTTCAACATGGAAAGTGTATATGTAATATTATGTAACGTAAGAAAATCAGATAAATTTTTGTTCAAGGAAATAGTCAAATTTTAACAAAGAAAGTTTTATGTACGTTTGTCAACGTACAAAGTATCAATTCTTTTATTTTTATGTTAATAGGTTCAGCAAGACAGGGATTCGTTGCTAAAAAATGCTCAGAATGCCGAGCCGTGCGACAAGTTAAAATATGAGTTAAAAGCGAGTACGGATTCATTGTACGTATCCCTCTATAATTGCGTTTTGAAGGGACTCGCATCGGTCAAGTTGACAAATTCAAACTTTACGCAATTGAGCAATGATTTGTTAAGTACTCTAAACAAAGAATTACCAGAGTTGACGAAATGCGCAAGTAAATCAAATTTGTCGGGCCAACTGTCCTGTCTTGCGAACACCGTAAGTGTTTCGACCGATTTCTGTTTTAATCATCAAATGCGATAATGTGAAATTTTTTAGCGAATGATATAGAACTACAGTTTTGTTTTCTGAAAAATTTTCCTCACGGAACTTACAACACGATTTGCTCGGAAAGAAAATTTGCCTAATTACTATGTTGTTTCAGACGGCAGACGACACCTTTAAACTGGCTCTTTCTTTGCTTAAAACACTTCCGAAAATCTCGGTCGATTATTTAACAGTTCTCCCGAAAACGGCGCTTTGCATTGGACAATCGTTCCCTCAAATCTTCTCAAACACGAGTATTATTGAAGACGCGAAACTGTGCGGTCGTAGTTTAACGCAACCACTAACAACCATCAGCAAAACTGCTTAATCTTTACATGTATTACAATTGTAAGATGAGACGAAGCTTTTACTTTCTCTATTACGTTACGCACCCAATTATGTTATATGTAATTTGAAGCTTGGCAATTAGCTTACCATTATTACACTTCTATATTTGTCTTTTGAACAGAATGTAAATTTAATGCAACTACAAACAATTTATGAATAAAATTGTCACATAAGAGCAAATAACTATGGAATTATACAAGCAGAGTTATGTCGTGAACTTATCGATTTTATTATACAATTCTCTTATTTATATTTTTTAATAACAGCGTATAGTCGAGTGGGCGCGGCCTGACGTTGGCGCGACGTTGTACGTATAAAATCGCCGTTATGAGAAGTAAAGACCCGATCAATGTTGCCATTGAACCACATCGTTTCTCCTCAGTATTTCCGTTGCAAGAGAGACTACACAATAATCAGACAGTGAATGAAACATTGTTCGACTCACGTTAGCCGTTGTTTCACACCAGTCAAAAGATACCATCTTGTGTTGTTCCGCGTTTCTGTTTACGCGCGACGATGGTCCGTCGCTTTAGACTTCTGAAAAATTCCGACAAGTGAATCACTGCACTCGACGGTGCACGATTATTCATCGTGTACCTGAGTAATAATTATAATATTACTCATCGCATGTGTGCAAAAAAAATAGTCAATATAAATTGCGAATGCGTCATAAAATCGGTGACCGCGCGAAAGCGTGACATATCGTCAGGAAAGTGAAACCGATCCTGAAAACGAACACCAGCTTTGCGCAATTACTGGTTAGCAAATGTTCGGAGTGAATTTATTTTCATAAATCGATAAATGGATCAATAAATTGGATCGTGAAACAAAAGTAAAAATTGGGTAAAAAAATTTAATATAGAATTACTGCATTAATTGTTTAATGCAGTAATTAAACTTTACTAATTTTATTATATTAATTAATTTTATTGTATTATTTATTTGTAGATACAGTTTTGTGAGACACTTCGTCAAGTATCAAATTTTCGACAACATTAGCATGTTTGTATTAACAGCGGCGGACCGCGTGTTGCTTAAGCGTACAATCTGTCGTAAATCATTGGTGTGATCACCACGAGACGCGCGAAACGTGTTAATAAACATCCAGTTAGATGAATAAACAACGTGACAAAACCATTTGCGGACAAAGCTCTTTGTCAACAAGTTGCTGCAAGAACCGGCAAAGCGCGCGTGAATAAACCGCGAGAAGTTCATCAACCTCGTACGATCGCGTCGTTGTAACGCCTGGCTACGATCAAACCTATATGGAATGTATCGCGAAGTACGAATGGTTGCCTAACACAGCGCGTGTGTATTGTCGCTTGCTCCTTTGTGCGTAAGCAAATGTTGCGAGTCTCATCAGTCACAAAGAAATTATTATTTGAAACGACAAAGAAATATGCACGGTTTTCTCTTTATTTAAATATTGCAACATGTGTGTTTCTTGTTTTTTAAATGTATGAAGTCGCTGAGTTAATCCTGTTTAGCTTTACTGCGCTTCCTGACTCGCTTTCTTGACTACAACCTATAAATTCTCAAGAAAATATTTTCCATAATAACAAAAAAGGACGAAGATTTCTCGGAGAGACATTCGCAATCGTCGGGATCGCACGTGTTTCTCATCAGAACTACATGTCCTCATTTCAGGACACGAGGAATCATAGTTGTCTCTCGCAACTGCTACTTAAATAACATCTTGCACGTTTTTTACTGGATATTGTATACTCAACAATGACGCGCGTTTTTTAATATAAATTACAATGAAATTAGTGACGCTTGAATTATTCTGCCCATTATTCTCGATAATAGGAGCTTACTGTAACATTGAGAGAAATAACGCGCAGATCGTAAAGAACTTTCCAGCTTTTCGTGTGACATTTTGACACAATTTTCAAAAAAACAGTGCATTTTCTTTGACAAAATGAGTAAATAAGTAGATATCTTATTTTGAAATGCACGCGATAACGCGTTTCCCGGTTGGAAATGATGAAAAATTTAATCTCTTTTTTGTTTAGCCACGCGCATCATTATGAATATTAAAACAAAGCGCTCTGTATATTTCCTATATTCTTTTCTTCGTACACGCGCGACATATATTTATAATACCTACCAGGAACTGCCGAGGATGAAACTGCATATTACTGCAAACCGCAAGATACGGTCGCGGCTTGAAGCTGATAACACGAAAGTCGACATATTCGCTGCGCGCAACGGCGTTTACATGTACGGTAAATTTTTTAAGTTTTTAATACAGAAATCGGGCAGTAAGCAAATAATGAAAATCAATAGCAATTAATATAATATATGTTTCTATATTTACATACATATTTACATATTGCATGTTTATCATCATATATTTTTCGTAAAACGATGAAGTTTCAGTCTTTTTTACTGCAAAATAAAATTGACAACTGTAAAAACATAAAATAGACGACGAGAGCGATAGTTTCCGATACAACGACGTAAATAGAAAGTAGAATTTACAACCGAAATTGGAATAAGGAAATAAGGAAAGGCGATTTCTCATGCATATGTTTCCAATTTTCGTTCCGAGAGAAAATACGTTCTTCCGTCGCGGGAGAATATAGCGCGAAGTTCAACGCACACCTGAAGGGTACCTTGGCGAGTTTTCTCAGCGATGAGGCGACGGCGAGAGGCGCGTGTCCTGCGTTACGATCAAAGTGGCGAGAGATGAGAAAAGGAAAAAGAAGCTACCACGGATAGTAGAAGTCGCCGACGTTCTTCTCTTTCCTTCTCGACGCGATCTCACGCAGCATCCGTCCGAAAATCAATATCCAACGCTTCGTACGACAGATCCTGTCAGCAAGAATGAGATAAAAATAGATGCGCTTTGAGAAACTGATTGTTCTGAGTTTGCGCCAGAGTCGCAAACGGAACTGACACACACGATAGATCGGTTTTCTTAATTGGGAGCTGCATTTGTTTTATCGCGTACAGACTTTCTTTAAAGTTACCTTTTTTTTAATCTCATTGTGTGCACTTCGTTCGACGGTTTTAATTGAGTTGAATTAAGTATATCACTTCGTCGATATTGCAATTCACTGAATTCACTCAAACAGTTTTATTCGCGACACAATCGTCTCGTTGCGAAATTCACTTCAATAAGAAAACAATTAATAAATGCCTTCTCCGCATTGGCTCCGCAAAAACTCGGTTGACGTAACATCGAAATTAGAGAATTATTATAGACGTAAACAATAACACCACCTCGATTTTACCGCACCGAAACGGAAGATTGAGAGAAACAAGGTCCGTACACGTGCCAGAATTAGAACGCGATATGTTTAGATCTCATTTTGGATACGGCCGTTTACCGTCTATATGTTGACAGAATATATACGTTCCACGTGTGTGGCGCGATTTACCCGGCCAGTAAATAAAAAGTAGATTATTACCTACGCGAAGCGCTTTCGAATGAATAAACATGAGAAAAAACTGGAAGCGAAATAAATTCTGTGCGTGACAAACGCGCAAACGTCTCCAATTTTCGGCGAATGGACAACAAAATATTCACGAAATATTGAAAAACCAAGAGCGAGCCAATATCCGAGCAAATATGTTCGTGTTTCAAACTCTCTCGAACGAGAAAGGAAACTAGCCGCCGGTCATTTCGCTGAATTGTGGAATTCAATCGGTTCAACGCTTTCTGCTGCTCGTCTCTTTGTCGCGCACGAGATCTTATCTGTCGGGAATTTTGCCATAAATCTCGACAGAAAAATGTCGGTATGAAACACACACGCACTTCTTCATCGCGAGAGCGAGTGATGAATTTTCGCTCTTGACGATTTGTACGTAACCTAACCTGCGGGCTATTTTCCAGTAAATTAATTACTAAGTTTACACTTACATAGCGTGTAATATGACGCTATTGGGAAAATAGAGAATTAAATTGAGCGATTCGCGTAAATTACGCGAACGTGAAATGTATCCGCACACTTGAATGCGGTATAATAAGTTTATGGCACAAAAGTCTATTTATGCGAGCGCGACACGACTCCAGCTACTCACAATGCGTACTGTCAACTCCACTTTTGGATTCCCTCTGGTTTCATCCATCTTCTGGTTCTCCAGAGAGAGACTTGTGTATATATATATACGTGCCTATCTAATAACAAACGTAACTGCACAACGAGACTCTAACTTTAACGGATCAACATCTCAGGATAATTCAGTGAAACGGTTCAGCGAATTACAAATATTCAAACGAGTAAACTACGTAAAGTTATAAAAACAATTATATAACTTTTTAGCACCGAAGTGGTTTTTCTATTTTCTATGGAGATAAGTAAATTTACGTCAATTTATTAACGTGAAAAATGTTTTTTTTTCTTCGAAAAATTAGCGTAATGTTTTCTCGAGTAATAAAGTGCACAAAATAAAATGCAATCTCTCTCTCTCTCTCTCTCTCTCTTATCGTATGTATATTGCCACTGGCCACAATATAGAATTATATAAATAAATATATAATGTCATAAAATTAATAATAATAAATATATATAATAAAAAACTAAAAATATACACAATAAGTACATGTAAATAGAAAATAAAAAAATACAAGATAAATGTACGTTTTAAAAATTAATTTCAGAACTTTCCGCTCTTTTATTTTTATCTTTTGCTTTCGTGTATCCGGGATAGCGCGAACGCAAATCCCGACTACCAAAAATTATGCGCTCGACATACCCACGTTAGGAGTATTCGCAAGGGTCAGCCTCGCCGATGTGCAATGGCGAGGCCTCGCCCAGGAGGAACCGCCTTCTTGATCACGGTAGCCTCCGCGCCAAGTAAGTTATAAGCGAAATGCCCTGGGCCAGCAGTTTTAATTGCCTTCGATCGTTTTTTTATATACGGGAAACGGTTTGTCGATCGACGTCCCCTAGCGGTTGCGTGTCGATTCATCCGGGATAAACAAAAAAGGTAACATAGCAACCATCAATCGCATCGGATCGCGACAGCTATATGCGCGAGCATTTCAAAAAGAATGGTTAGAGTTCCCGTGCGAGAGAATAATTCGGGACGAAATGCAAAAATCGGTAAAACTTCAAGACCACATGTTTGCTTTTGTGACATATATTTGTTGGTGCTATATAATATGTTTGTGCGTGTGTATGCGATTTTAGTTTATATTTTATTCGATTATCAAAACGACTCGATTGACATGTGGATGCGGTGTATGAAACATT